TTTTACTAACAGTCATCAAAAATAATTGCACAATATTATTGTAATTATGAAATTAAACTCGATGACATGAATACGGAGATTTTATTTATTTTATTAGTTACATAAAGATTCACAAAAACTTTTACGTGAAAAAAATGTTCAATTCTTTAAAAATTAAATGCATTTTTTCGGTTCACTTAATCAAAACAATAACGCGAACACAAAGGATTTATTAAACAAAACATTCATTACGTTACATTGACTGAAGGTATTACATTAAGCGCTTATTTTAGGATCTAACTATGACATAAAACACTATAAATTGTAACAAATTGTACAGGCGAGAATCAGTGCCGGTTTTAGTGTTATTTGCGCCCTTTCAACAACGCCTCTTTATTACCATTCTTTAGGAGGTTAACACTAGACTGTAGTTTGCGTTTTTGGCGCCCCTTACTGTCCATCGCCCATCGCCATCAACATTCTACCCTAACGCCGGCACTGACAAGAATTACTAATAATTACATAATCGGAATGCAGTCTTGAAATATTTGTATCAATGACGTATTACTAAAGTTTATTTTCCAGTCTAAATGTCATTTTTACTTCAAATAAGTAAAAAAATTATCACAAAAGCTCAATATTGCATGTTATTTACTTGCCCTACATAAAATAGTATTATAACCATAAAAGTGTGTTCGTATAACAATGAAAAACAATTAGAATTTCCATTACTTAAAATTATTGTATATTCACTAACACAAAAATATAAAGCACTCAGACTATAAGTTACATTCTATGTTATTTATTTTAATCAACTTCCAAAAGGAGGTTCTCAATTCAACCTTTTAATTATTGCAAAATATATTAACTTTCATTTTGCCTTTCTGTGACGAAAAACATTTAGTCAAACTCTATGTAAAACGGCAAAATCGTGTGTAAATTGACGCTTCAAAAAATCTAATAAGTATGTACTATTTTTTATTATACTTATATTAAATTGTACAACTAAATTACTAGTAATTTCTAAACTGTTTGCCTCGCCTGGACAATGTGTTGTGTTCAATTATCTATGGACAGTAACATACAAACCTCACTACATTATTGTCTGCCTACGTTAGCTTAATTTATAAGTTATATAGTAAATACATTAGAATTAAACACAAGTATCAGCTTACAGCTGCTTTCATAACAAAAAATAAATGGAACAAATAAAATAAAACCGTTTGAAACTAAAACCTACTTAGTATCGTAGGACTGATTTTTTAATATTTTTCAACTCATGTCTATTTTGTATTTTAAATAAAATAAAAGATAATAAAACAGTAATTTAAATATTGTATAAGTTTTCTTTAAGCATGTCTTATTATTGTTTTAACATCAAGATGATATAACCTACTCCTAATTATTATTAAATTGCAACTGACTCTGCTATTTGCAAGCCGCTTGTCCGCAGCCATCTTGTGATCACTTTCTTAATGTCAAATATGTATATTTTTTTTAATTCACATATATTTTAATTGTAGTCAAGTTTTAGGCATTTATGTTAATGAGATGAATAATGAATAATGAATTAAGTCATTGTTCAAATTAATTCATGCGAAAAAAATTATATGAATGTATTGCGCATGCAAAAAGAAAGGAAAATGAAAGAAAAAAAAATCAAAACAATGTTGTCTTTATTTCATGTCTATTCGTAAATTAATCTATAATTAACATCACAATAATTAGCGAAGATAATCAAATAAATCGTACACTTAAAAATAAATTAAAAACAATATAAAACAACCTAGAAAACACAATTTGAACAAATTAGGACGTCTACGTAGTTTATAGCGGGGGGG